CTGGATGGATGTCCGCCACCTTTGGCTGCAAAGGATGTAGTCAATCTGATTTCGGTGTTGACCGTCTGGTGAGGTCCATGTGTAAAGCCGTCTTTTAGGTTGTTGGAAGAGAGTATTCGTCATACACAGCGAGTTTTCCTGGCAAAATTCTATCAGCCTGCGTCCCGCTTCATTTTGTTCTCCCAGACCATGCTTGCCTGTGATCCCAGTTGTCATTTGACTTCCCTTCTTGGCATTCCAGTCTCCTGTAATGAAAATAATGTCTCTTTTTGGTGTATTATCCAGTAGGTCCTGCAGATCCTCATAGAACTGATCTACTTCTGCTTCTTCAGCAGCCTGTGGTTGGGGCATATATTTGGATCACTGTAATGTTAAAAGACTCTCCTTGCACTCGAATTGAGATCATTCTGTCATTTTTTGGGTTTTATTCAAGCACTGCTTTAGCGACTTTCTTATTAATTATGAAGGCTACTCCATTTCTTCTATGTTCCTCTTGTCCGCAGTAGTAGATCTGGTGGTCATCTGATGTGAAGTGGCCCATTCCAGTCCATTTCAGTTCGCTGACCTCCAGAATGTCTATCTTTAGTCTTGACATCCCACCAATAACAACATCCAATTTGCCCTGGCTCATAGATCTTACATTCCAGGTTCCTATGGTGTGTTGATCTTTAGAGCATCGGATTCGTCGTTCACCTCCAGTACCGTCGGCCGCTAGCCTCCCTTTCGGCTTTGAGCTAGCTGCGTCATCACATCTGGGGCTAGTTGAACTTATCCTCTGCTCCTCCCCAGTAGCATTTTGGCCATCTTCCGACCTGGGAGTCCCATCTTCCAATGGCATACCGACATATCTCTGGTTGTACTGATCCATTTAGTTTTCTTGGCAAGGATACTGGAGTGGTTTGCCATTGCCTTCCCCAGGGATCACGCTTGGTCTGACCTCTCTGCCACGACCGTCCCGTCTTGGGTGGCCTATTCTTATACGGGCTGAGACCCTTAATCGGTATCCGCATCATGACATCCACTGTGAGGTGCTCACAAAAGCTCCAGCGCCACGACAAGGTGGTGATCCTTTGCTGGGAATCAATGGGAAAAAATGGGAAAAAAATGGGAATCAATGGGAAAAAAATTGGGAATCAATGGCACCTTAGATTCCCAATTTTTAAAAACTGCCTTACCTTCAAGAGAGAGGAAGAGGAAGGGCCCTCAACCCCAGACTTTATAAAATAGACTAATGAAGACAGGTTGACTCTACCAGACCCCACCATTTTATCCCCAGTCTCAGTCAGATGGCTGTTTACCACCTGCCAGAGCAAACTGGTACTTCTTTCCCTCCACTCCCTCCCCAATGGGCCCACCGACTTAATAAAATAGACTCATGCAGACAAGATGACTTCCAGGTTTCTTCACACTCTCTCCACACCTCACAGGAAAGACTGTACTACAAAGTTGTATTAAAACAAAACAAGATATTGTGCATGCAGAGGAAATTCTTTTAAAAAATCTAAGAAAATTGTTTTTTCCTCAAATTGAAGCCTCAAAAATGGGGCGCATCTTACATTTAATGGAAACATAGAGTTGGTGAAAGACAGTACTTTCTAGTATTTAGTAGTGGTGTGTGAGATGTCAAAAAACATGCCGTTTTTGGTTCAGTTTTCAGGATATTCCCAAAATTGGGAGGGGAAAAGTACCTTTCTTTTCCATCTCCATTCAGATCCAGCTCCTATTTCTGTCCTTTTATGACTATCGAGACAAAAATGGTCACACTCAGAGGATATGTTTATGACTGCATCCCCCCCCCAGTTTCAGAATGTTTGGTTCCTCCACTGATTTTTAGGGAAAAAAATTAAAGTTTCTACAAATAAAACATACACACAGCCAGAAGGTGGGACAGTGAATAGCAGAGTCAAAGAGGTGAACTAGAAGAAAGGTCTTTTTTGTCAATTTTAAAATCTTTGGGAGGGGACAGTGCAGGACAGAGTACAGAAGCCAGAAGGTGGGGCTGGGGAGTGATTGAAAATAAAATAAGATTCTCCCACTGGGGAATCAAGGGAGTCAGGCTATCCCTCTCTTCCCTAAACCTATCCCACACCCAGTCAAGTTAAAGCAAAAAAAATAAAATAAACATTTAAACAAACACACAAAAATGCTCTTTTTAAACTCATAGTCCCCCCACCACACAAAACGCACGCTCACCCGCACCTCCCTGGTGAAATTAATAAAATAAAAGGTTTCTACGGAAGATATTAACTAAGAAAATTTAATGATATAATGCAGAAGAAAAATATTAGAATTCTCAAAAAGCGATCCTAAGTAGCAACAGCACCAAGATAGAGCACACAACCTCTCTCTCTCAAATACCAGGATGTCACAAAAAAAATGGAGGCGCTCAACCTGGTATAGGCAGAACAACTTTGCAAAAAGACACGTGATTCGCTTTCCTCTTCTGATTGGCTCTGGAAGTCTAAAGGGGGGGGGGGACCCAAGTGTGGCTCCTTTTGTCAATCATGGAGAGGCTGAATCTCTTGAATGTAGCTGGAAGATCTGTTCTGGCTAAGCCTTTGGCTGCCCCCTGCCCAGCCCATTTTTGTCCACTACCAGATTAACAAATTTCCCCGAATCACAATAGCTAGAGATACAGTAACAAGTATTTGCGAAGATCTCTTACAGCAATGGTTCTCAACCTGTGGATCCCCAGGTGTTTTGGCCTACAACTCCTAGAAATCCCAGCTAATTGAAGGCCAAAACATCTGGGGACCCACAGGTTGAGAAACATTGCCTTATAGGAAAAGCGCTGGATGTTTCCTATCCCAGTCCACTATTCTGCATAGTATAGAGGGGACCTTTGGTCATTGCATAGTTGGAAGTGACTTCAGACCTCTGCAATAACCATAAAATTATTTATTATTATTATTATTTATTTACAACATTTCTACCCCACCCTTCTCAACCCTTGGAAGGCGGGGGGACTCAGAGCAGCTAACACAGGCAACAATTCGATGCCACAATATCAATAAACAACAGTATAAAACCATAAACACATAATAGATTAAAAACAGTAACATTAATGATATAATCACATAATTACATAGCCATTTCCAATTATCATAGCAGTCGTATGGTCCAGTTCAATGTCCGAAGTGCTGATGTGCCCGCTAGCCGAAAGCTTGGTTCCAAAACCATGATTTTAGTTTTTTTTTTTCCCTAAAGGAAAGGAGGGAGGATGCCGATCTAATCTCTCATTAATTATGACATCATATTCAAGAACAGGATGCTAGCCTCCATCTTTTGAGGATCATGATCATCATCTGCTAAGATGAAAGAGACTAGTTTAAGAGCTGCACAGGGTCATGAAACTTGCTGGGTAACTTTAATCCAGTTATTTCCATCACAACTATGCCATAAGGACCATTGAGAAAATTAAACTAAGGAAAACTATTATGCATTCTTGCCTTCAAGCTCTTTGGCAGTTTGGTTATAAATAAAAAACACCATTGTTGGGTAAAACTGGGAATTAAACCAACATTAAAAGCAATCCAAAGGCATCAAATTCTCTCTCCTGTCTTTTCATACATCTGGCTCCATATTGTTGTTCTTAAAGATCACTATGTACAGAAAGCTTTCATGTGTTTCTTTACATGTTGCTTTGTATAGCAGCTTTCAATATTAATCACACACACACATATTGTCAATAAACATTCGCTATGAGCCTAATTCTATTTAACTCTAATGATGCATGGTACTGATTCAAACAAGCTGTTCTATTGAGCTCAACTGGACTTGCTTCATGAATAAGTGCCATTGAGTCAGATGAAAACTTGCAAAATTCCAACCTACCACCCTCCCCAGCTGTAGGCTTTTAATTGACAAGCTTGCATTTGCACATTTTCCAAACTGCATCAAAGCCTTGTGGAATATTAGCGCTTGCATGTTACCGTTCGTTGCTAAATTATTTTTAAAACGTTGTTTTGTAGACTGCCAGCATTTGTTTTGGCAATGGATACACAGGGTGTTTCTTAAATGTTTCCATTTGGCATGTGCTGGCTGCTACTGACACATTAAAGACTAACAAGGCACATTTAACCAAATCCTTACCACTGCAGCATGATACACAGCATAAAAGACTCTTTTCTTACACTTAATAATGTTGAAGTTCCCCCAAGATTTATGATAAGCAACACATTTGAAAGCAATCATCATATTTCAGCAATGTGCTTCTATGGAGCAAGCAGTCCAGCATAGTAATTCCCATGTCTGTCTGTCTATCTAATTTATCTGTCTGTCTATGTTGTCAATTTTCATTATTACGAGTGTATTGTTGTTGTGTTCGAGCAGTGAATGTTTGCCTTTTATGTTTGGAATCTGCCCTGAGTCCCTCCAGGGATATAGGGAGGAATATAAATAAAGTATTATTATTATCATCATCATCCTTCCTTCCTTCCTTCCTTCCTTCCTTCCTTCCTTCCTTCCTTCCTTCCTTCCTTCCTTCCTTCAGCTCATCTCTGTTTGGTAGGCACACTTTCAGTCCCTAACAATTTCTTCTTTAACTACTGTACATCAACAAAATGTTTCAATGTCCAAAAGTCATTCATGTTAAAGCAAAACCTGAAGCCAACCAAGTTTCTTGAAACTGGCTACAAGACAGGGACAATCATGTTCCACAAGTACAACTCAAGCAGCAAACTTTGCATGAGCGCCACTAGGTGGAATTCTGAGATAATGCTCACTTGCCTTAGATTGTGGGATCTAACAAGATTTTTAAAATATCTGAATTATTTCATGCATCTACCCGTCCTATAATGGAACTGTAATATTAACATTTCATGGTGCACAAGCTGACATCATCTGTCTATTTGCCAAAGACGGAGACAGAACGCTCAGAATTCAATCACATGCCTTAATAGTTACCTTCAGTATTGTCACACATTTCTCAAACACAGGCAACTTCCGCACAGATTTCTTAACACTGAGAAATAAAAATATTCCAAGAAGTCTGTCCTTACCTAAACTGCAAAGCAGAGGAAAAAGAGGTCAGTGCTCCTGTTTGACCAAACTCAGCAATTTCACTTTCACTCTTTGCACACTTCAAGATGACAGGGAGGAGGAGGAGGAGGAGGAGACGGGGGACGAGAGAAGGTCTGAAGTTCTCAGATCTTCCTTCAGAGTCCTACCCATTCACTCCCCAAGATCCCGCTCAACAAATACCACTGTGTTCTGTCAATATTTGTATGCAGCTCCACAGAGGGCAAGCAGCCAGATGCACATGGTTTAAAGAGCCAAGAGAAGAAAACTGACACCCGAACAAACACTCCCCGCTTTGTCTCTTTTAAGGTGGTGCGGAACATGTCATCTTAGCTTCTGACTGCAGATAGGCGCCGGTCAGGGATTCTACTACTTTGAGTAAAATAATAAAAGCCCTGTGTTACTTGAATGACCTTGTTTTGAAAACTTAGTGCCTTTCCCCCGATGCCTTAAAAAGTTGTCCATGAGTTAGGTTTCGTTGCCTGTATTTGTGTGTGTGTTGGAAGCAGCTGTCCCTTAAATGTATTTTAATTGGCTGGAATGTTGAAAGAATCTCATTTGGCAGTAATTTGCATTTGGAGCACACCCCTCGGCAGCTGAAATTGGCCTCAGAAGTCTCTCAACTACTTAATCAAAGAGATTGCTAGAATGTCATTGGTTCTCACAGAACAGCATTGAAATTAGTAATGTTGGTACATTATTACAAAAACAGTTTTCAGCAAATGAACCTTATTTAATTTGAAAGTGATTTAAAAAGTCAAGATTTAGGGCCTCATCACACCAGAGAACGAATCCACTTTAAATCCAGTTGCTGCTTCCTGCAGAATTCTGGGGTTTGTAGTTTAGCACGGAGCCTTTGACAGTCTCACTAAACTATAAACCCCAGAATTCTGCAAGAGGCAGAAACCAGATTTAAAGTAGATTCATCCTCTAGTGTGATGAAGTAGTTAGTAGAATTAAAACTGTTTTAAAATTTTTAAGTGCTATTTCTCCCTTTTCATGCGTTCTTGAAGGGAAATAATTCTGTGCTTTTTGTATGGGGAAAGGCTTATTTTATTTTTTAAAACACTTCTCCTTATTTTGATTTGTCCTTCCAAAAGTATTTATTTCTTCTGTTGTTGGTGAGTATGTGAATATATTTCAAAATGATTTTCATCCAATATTCTTTGTAAAGGTCAACACATTAAACTAAAACATTTTAATGACACTGTTGTTTAGCTCTGAATTAATTACTTATCATTCTCAAACATTTTCACGTATACAGTGGGTCCTCCAGATCTGCGGGATCCAAATAAGACAGGTTTCTCAGCATGAAAACGGAGGAAAGCACTTCCCAAAGCCAGAAATGAGCACCACCTCCAGAATCTGGAAGTGAAAGGAGAAGCCTCTGCCTTTGTGTGTGTTTGTGTGTTTCACTGTATACAATTATAAAGGCATTGAATATTTGCCTATATATGTAAAATGCTGTAATCCACTCTGAGTCCCCGAGGGGGGAGAAGGGCAGAATATAAATAAAGTGTTATTATTATTATTATTATTATTATTATTATTATTATTATTATATTTTATGGGAAGAGAGGCAAGAGCCTTTTGCTTTCTTAGGGTGCAATATCTGGAAGAGTAATGGGATAATGGCTCATTTTCCAATCCAGTTCCAATGTCCCTTTGTTTTTTGTTTTTTTAAAAAGACACTATTTTGTGAACAATAAAGCACAGGTTTATTACATTTGTGAGTCCCTTCAAATCATCTGCTGACTTGTGGTCACCCCAATAATTTCACAGAGTTTTCTTATGCAGGGAATGCTCCGGTGTCATTTACCACATTCTCCCTTTAAAACATAGCCTATAAAACAAGCCTCTTTAACCTGTGATCTGCACTTAAGCTCCCTGAATTCCTGACCACTGAACAAGCTGGCTAGGGCTTCTGGGAGGTGGAGGCACAAACACCTAGAGGGCCACAGGTTGAAGAGTCCTGCTATAGAACCTCGTATTCATTGGCAATCTCCTGCCCAAATATTAAGCAGATCGTATTTGGTGTGTAAACTAAAGGTAAAGGTTTCCCCTGATATTAAGTCTAGTTGAGTCCAGCTCAAGGGGGTGGCGCTCATCTCTATTTCTAAGCCAAAGAGCCGGCATTGTCCATAGACACCTCCAAGGTAGTGTGGCCGGCATGACTGCATGGAACACCATTATATTCCCGCAGAAGTGTTACCTATTGATCTACTCATATTTGCATGTTTTCAAACTGCTAGATTGGCAGAAGCTGGGCCCAACAGCGGGGGCTCATCTCGCTCCTCTGATTCGAACTGCTAACCTTTCAGCCTGCAAATTCAGCAGCTCAGTGATTTAACCTGCTGTGCCACCAGGGGGCCCTTACTTGGTGTGTACCTCTGCATAATTCCACTCCAATTCAAATTAGGCTAATTTCAAGGTAAAAATGCAAAGAATGTCTACTTTGAACAAGTTTAGCATAAAGATGGGGCCATGAGTTGTTCCTGGATTCCGAATACCATGATCCTTAACATTGACTATGGTGGCCAAGTCTAGAGAGAATTACAGCCAAGGAAAATCTGGAGGTCCACATATTCCCCACTTCTTGTTTATCAAATACTGTTCCATTAATACACAAGAACCAATAATATATTTTTAAAAAACCTATATATAGTAACAGTGAAAAAAACATATGTAAATCAAGGACTCATATGACATTTAACAATGCAAAAATATATCATTTCATTAGCAAATATGTAGTCAGAGCAACTGGAAATTAAGTTGATACTTTTATACTGAATTTAATGAAAATTACATGTGCTTAACTGGGGCTAGATTGTATCTTAATAATACAAGTGCAGTACACCCCTCGTATTTATACATTGAATCCTATTGAAATGAAGGACATCCAGCCTTAGAATATCATAGAGTCATGCTGGAGGACCTCGAAAATGCCCAACAGTGCGATATTTTATAAGAGGTGGATATAAGAATCTGTAGGTACCGGTACCGCGGATATGGGGTTTATACTCTATATCCTGATTTAAAACCATGAAAACAAAGGCTGATATCAGGATACCTGGGAATGTTAATGTGGGGTTTTCCACCTCTTTTTAATGCAAGAGAGAGCCTGTGAAATTAACTCCTTAAAAGTTCACTTATCATCACCTTCATGATCATCATGAATATATTAAAAAAGAATGATACTAAAGAAAAATAGATTGTCTGTTAATGAAAGCTGTTTTTTGTAAATATATGTTGACAGTCTTCCTCTACAAATTCTAACAACAATTGCCAGATACTGAAAAAAAAATGAAGCACTTAAGGCTCTGTTGAAAGGGAAATGCACATTACATACACGGAGCCCCACACTTAATTATCAAAGAGCTGCATGATTTAACAAGTTGGCTGTGTGCAAGCCTTTTAAAGTTAATGCTCAAGAGCCTTAAAATGCCAAACATTCATTGTGCAATCCCTTTTTGTTTTAACTTCCTACAAAATTTGAGGCTTCAATTATGACCTGGGGCCTTACAATTTCATACTTGAGCTGCAGATCTGGCTCCCTGGTGGGATTAACTGAGATGTTAATCTCAGTCCTAATTTTTTAGACTATGTTTCTAGTTCTCCTTGCAGCAATGTAATTTGGAAATTTATAGACATTGTAGGCTGTCATTATTTTGAAGCCGACCTGGATCAAGATGAGATATCTACCAGTCTGGAGGCAAGGTATCACTCTGTTTTGAGATACTTCTTTCTCTCATGCATTCCTGCCCATGTTTCTGTGCTTTTCATACACATGTATATGTGTAGATGCTTTTAGAGATGTCAACATTTTCTCTGGAAGAGCTTCTATAAATGGAATGCGTTTTTGTTCCTATTTTCTGTTAAGTCATTTTCGATTTACAGTAACCAAAGGAATTGGAGACCTCTGTTATCTCTAGTCATCTCCAGCCTTACTGCAAGACACTTCTGGTGTAAGGGCACACAGAAGGCTGGGCGACTTGGAAAGTGCTGAATAGACTGTGCTCTGGTACCATGAGATGCAGAGCTAATCTTAAGAAATGGAGCTACAAAGTGGAGTCCACGACCAAACCACAGATCACCTACTACAATGCAATCTGAGCCCTGCCACATGCACAATGGAAGACCTCCTTACAGTGACACCAGAGGCACTTGAAGTGGCCAGCTTCTGGTCAAAGGAAATTTAGTATAATGCCAAGTTTTTAACTCTGTGGTTTTTTACTGATTATAACTGTATTCTCAATTCGCTTCTGACACGATCTATAAATAAATCTCCAGCCTTGCTCATCTCTTGCAGATTCAGGGTGGGGTTTTGGATTAGGGTTGTCATTTTTCACTCTACTCATCTGTAATGCTTGTTGTTGTTTATTCATTCAGTCACTTCCGACTCTTTATGACATCATGGACCAGCCCACACCAGAGCTCCCTGTCAGCTGTGGTCACTCCAAGCTCCTTCAAGGTCAATCTAGTCACTTCAAGGATGCCATCCATCCATCTTGCCCTTGGTCAGCCCCTCTTCTTTTTCCCTTCCATTTTCCCCAGCAACATTCTCTTCTCTAAGCTTTTCTGTCTTCTCATGATGTGGCCAAAGTACTTCATCTTTGCCTCAAATATCCTAACCCCCCCCCCCCTCCCAGTGAGCAGTCAGGCTTTATTTCCTGGAGTATGGACTGGTTGGATCTTCTCGCAGTCCAAGGCACTCTCAGAATTTTCCTTCAACACCACAGTTCAAAAGCATCTATCTTCCTTCATTCAGCCTTCCTTATGGTCCAGCTCTCGCATCCATAGGTTACTACAGGGAATACCATTGCTTTAACTATGCGGATCTTTGTTGCCAGTGTGATGTCTCCATTCTTCACTTTTTATTGAGATTGGTCATTGCTCTCCTCCCAAGAAGTAAATATCTTCTGATTTCCTGGCTGCAGTCTGCATCTGTAATGTTATCTTCTTTTTCTGCCATTAATTTTATCAAGCATTATTGTCTTTACTAATGAGTCATTTCATCTCATGATATATCCTGTGTTGAATAGTTTCAGTTAGTCATTTTAACTTTACTAGAACCAGTTTTGGAAGCATTCATTTTGCCCTGGTGTTCCTGTACCATGCATGAATTCTGCATAGCTGTTCTATGGATAACTTTTTTCTTATTAAGGACCTAGCTAAATAGTCTGTTGCTAAATTTCTTGTTATACATTCAAAATCACAAAAGACATACCAGAACAAAATGTTGGCAGCCCCAGATCTCTCTCTCTCTCTCTCTCTCTCTCTCTCTTTGGTAGGTCCTATCTCTTCTTTCCTTTGTTCCCTTTCAGTTACAAAGGGTAATTATTTTGCTGGCCTCTGCAATGAACCATTCTGCATTTGTGCTCTTTTTCGCCACTGGCACATTATGTAGGTGAATGGAATACGGGGCATTAATTTTCACAAAGAGGAAGTTGATTGACATGTTT